GAGCTGGGTCCTCGTCCAGCTGCTCTCAGGACCTCGCTTAGGCTGGGTCTGTGGAAGATCAAGAGGGGAAGCTGGGAGCTGGGTCCTCGTCCAGCTGCTCTCAGGACCTCGCTTAGGCTGGGTCTACACGGGCCGATCCTGCGCCAGAAGTATGCAAATGAGACTAAGGTGGAATATCTCCGGAGCCTCATTTGCATACCTAATTAGCCACCATTTTGCGGAAGAGGCTCTTGTCCCAAGGAGCTGTCTACAGGGCCCCTCCTTGCAGGAGAAAAAGCCTCTTGGGCAATGCTGTGAAACTGATTCATTCCAGGGTTATTTTCTTCGGGGCTGACACCACTGGGGTTTATAACCAGCTGTTCCAGGACCCTTCCTGCCATGCTGGAGGGCAGATCAAGAAGAGTTCTGCAGGGATCAGTGGCCGGTCCGGTTCTGCTCAGTATCTTCCTCAATGATTTAGAAAGTGGCAGAGAGCGGGATTATTAAGTTTGCAGATGATCCCAGGCTGGGAGGGGTTGTGAGTGCTTTGGAGGATGGGTCAGAATTCAAAATGATCTGGACAAACTGGAGAAATGGGCTGAGGGGAACAGGGTGAAGTTCAATAAGGACACATGCAAAGTGCTCCACTTAGGGAGGAACAATCCGTGTCACACACACGATGGGCAGCGACCGTCTAGGAGGGAGCCCTGCTGAAAGGCGTCCAGGGGTCATAGTGGACCACAAGCTAAATATGAGTCAACAGTGTGACACTGTTGCAAAAAAAGCAAACATGATTCTGGGCTGAGTCAACAGGGCTACGTCTACACTGGCAGGATTTTCCAAAAATGTTTTTAAGGGAAAAGTTTTCCGTTAAAAGCATTTTCGGAAAAGCACATCTTGGTTGGCAGGATGCACTTTCTGCGGAAAAGCGTCCGTGGCCAATCTAGACGCGGTTTTCTGCAAAAAAGTCCCAATCGCCATTTTCGCAATCGGGGCTTTTTTGCGGAAAACAGTTCTGTGCTGTTTACACTGGCCCTCTTGCACAAATGATTTGCACAAGAGGGCTTTTGCCCGAACGGGAGCAGCACAGTATTTCTGCAAGAACACTGACGATCTTACATGAGATCTTACATGAGATCGTCAGTGCTCTTGTGGAAATTCAAGTGGCCAGTGTAGACAGCTGGCAAATTTTTCCACAAAATCATGTGATTTTGCGGAAAAGCTTGCGTGTCTAGACACAGTCGAAGAGTGAAAGCATAACGGGCAGTGCGTGCTTTGGAGGAACAGCCAAAGGGAGGTACCAAACGTGTCATTAGTGCGTAAGAGGATTCGTACTGTGGGTATCATAGATTGGTCATTTCTGTCTATAAATATTGAGGTACCTCAACTTCATTCTTTGGCCAGCCTACGGGGCGATAGTATGGATTTCACTATTGATTGAGCCATGTCCATTGTCCTGGGTACAACTAGGTAGGGGCTTAGAGGCCATCTGGCTACCGACGACCACTAATGTGCTTCATTGGACAATAAACCTGACTTGGGTGCCGTTGTTGCTTACCTGAGTGTGGTCTTTGGGGCTCTCGTGAAGCCTATTGGGCCATTAGGAAATGCTTCCTGCCTGCCAGGGGGGTTAAACACTGGGGTAAGTGGCTCGGGGGCTTGTGGATATTTCAGAGCAGGTTGGACACACCTGCCAGGGATGGTCTAGGCTCTAGACTGTGCTTGGGGATGACGTGAAGACACCTCGAGGCCCCTTTCTGATTGAGTCCCAGCCTGCAGCTCCCTGCCGTCCCAGCCCTGGGCTGTCTACCCGTGCGCCTCTCCCCCACCCAGTCCCCTGCTGTTCCAGCCTGAGTACTGGTGCACAGGCTCACATCACACAGCACTGGTGGCTGGAGATCTGTAATGCCGGGACACGCTCTTGGCCTTTTCTCTGCCTGGTCCTGTCCCTCCCTCGCGGCAGCTTTGTGGAGCCAGACACCGTTGGAGGCAAGAGGTGAAACGAGCTGGCTGGGGTGTGTTCCCTGCAGGAGCTGGACAGGCAGTATTCCCCGAAGGACGCTGTGATAGAGGCCCACGTCAGGGAGCTGGCGGAAGGTAAAGGGCTGGCAGGCAGACCGTTCTGCCAAGGGACTAGCTCCCCGGGGTGAGAAATGGAGGCAGATGGGACATTGCTGCACAGAGCTGGGGATGCTGCACTGGCCGATGCTAGTGAGTATCTGGTCCCAGCCGTGGCCCCGCGCTGCCTGCTGACGCGGGAAACACAGATCCAAACAGCCCCAAGCCCAAGGAGCTACCGGTCAGCGACCCCCCGGCAGGACCCACCAGGCCACCCGAACAGGGGGGCTGGGGGTTCTCTGTAAATTGCTAACTCCCTTGTGGTCCCCCGGAAGCGGGGGGGTTTGCAGGGCTTGGGCGCGGAGGGACGTGGTGCCAGGGAGCTGCCCAGGGACAGGCCGAGAGACAGAGTCTGGGAGCCAGGCAGGGGCGAGGGGGTTGCTCTCCTGCTGCACCCCAGAGAGGCCAGTGGACGTGGCTTGTCCGTTCCCTCACAGGCACCAGGAGGGCCCAGGACACTCTGCAGACCCGGCTGCACGTCCCTTACGGGGACAGTGATGGGGAGAAACTGGACATGTACTTACCCACGGAACCCTCCGGAGGTAAATGGGCGGCGGGGGGGGAGCAAGGGAGGGGCAGTGTAGGGAGCCAGGTCACCCTGGCCTACCAGGTCACCCTGTGTTGTTCCTTGCAGCCTTCCCGCTCCTCCTGTACATCCACGGGGGCTACTGGCAGTTTTTAAGGTGAGGCAAGTCCCGTTCTGGGAGCTGTGGAAGGGGCCAGGAGGGTAGCTCTGCCTGGGCTGGGTGCTGCAGGGCCTCCAGGCAGACCACCCCTGCCCTGGGAGCCCCCCCGTGGCTGGCGGGCCCTGGGGCTGCTGGGCTGCCTGGTGGG